TATTTCAATAATTTCCTTTACATCACTGTGGTCAACTCCATCTTATACTGGAATAAACCAAGGAGATCAAAGAGCCCTGGAGCCCTGCCTGAAGTCATACAGAGTTCAAATTTAAACTCAGCTCATGGACATGCATGAAGGTGAAAGAATGGTGCCTGGCATATGGTACGTGCTTAATAAATGCTGTAACTTTACTTCTACAATACATTTAATGTTTTGCTAAAAACACTAAGCGAAATGATGACCAGAATTTACATAGTCCTGAATTAGCAAGGGCATCAGAATATTTAAATTTAGCAAATAAAAGTAAATATAGTGACCATATATTTCTAATATACTCCATGACAGTATGCTCTATGTGTAAATATTGATGAAACAGTTAATAGTTTTGCCAAAAGAAATAACAGCTTTCTAGGGGAAGAAAAAAGTACACTTGTATCCTTGTAGCAAAGTAAGAAATTCAATATCTTAAACTTCAAAGGTCAGCTTTAATACCATATAATATCAAAAATAAATTTCTACTAATCTGTAAAAATCACTTGTCACTAACATTTAATATAATTATAGCTTATTTCAAACTTTCATTTGCACTACTCTTAGCAAGGTTACTAAATACTCAAACAGAAGAGTTCTTCTGGGACTCAAGTGTTTAATATGCCCTATATGAAATAAGAATATAAACCCCTAATCAATTCCAAAAAATTGAGCCCTCTATTGAATGAAAACATATTTGATGACATCCTCCTCAAAAGAGAGATTAAGCAACATTCTGATTAAGAAACGTAACAAATCTATACTACCGTTATAAATTTCAAAAGCAATCTTAATTACATTTTTACGGTTCCATTTAAAATATATCCCAAGCTTGTAATTCATTTCATGTTCCTACATATTAGACTTTGTATCACTATAAGTTAGTATTCATTTTCTACAATCCAAATGCATGATCTTGCTTCTGATATTCTGACACAAATTGTTCTTATTTCCAAATAAAAATTTAATTTAAGGAGATAATAATATTGATAGAAAATTAAGCATCTCTATTAGATATAAAAAAGAGATTCTTTTGGCCAAAATACATTAAGAGAATTGTGAACATAAGAAAGGACTTATTGGCAAATACTCTGATCATAATCTTTTAGGGGGAAATTAACAGAGATATGTGTGACGGCTGCAACTTAAAAATAAAAGCATAGTGCAATTGATAAGATGATGGATGTAGAGACAAGAAGTGGGTTAAATGTGACTCCAAGATTCTGGTACATCCTGGCTATAGAACCTTAGGCAAAATAAGAGTCTAGAACCTGACAAGTTAGACGGGGCCTTCCTGCTCTAAATCGTTCCAGAAAATGTTAAAAGGAGATCTAGGCTGAAACAACAAAGGAAAGATAATTTAGAAATATAATTTATAGTATCAGTCTAAAGAAATTATGAGGTTAAGAAGTAATTTTTAATTATGGATTATAACACATAAATTTGTTTTGATTTCCTTAGGTGTTTAAACCTCCATCATCTGTCCAGAACTTAACCTTCTTTTACAGTTATCCTATACTTAACCTTCTTTTACAGTTATCCTATTTGATTTTTTTAATCGTTCTGAATTATTAAGCATTTATTTTGTCTTCCCATCAACCACTCCAATTAGAAAAGGAAAAAAGAAAAAGAAACCATGTGAAAATATGGTATACTTAGTTTCAGCCATTCTCCAACTGATGGGCACCCCTTTAGTTTCAAGTTCTTTTCCATTTCAAAAAGAACTGTTACAAATATTTTTGTACATATAAGACGTTTTACTTTTTCTATATAAGTCTAGGAAGATATCGTAGGTAAGAGTATATAGAGTTTGCTGATTTTAGGGGAATCCAAATTGCTTTCCAGACTAGCTGGACCACTTCACACCACAGATAGAAAGCACATTAATGTGCCGGTTTTCTAGCAACTCTTCAAATATTTCTTCTTTTTTTGTCATCTTTGCCAATTTGTTGGGTGTGAAGCAGAACTTCAGAGTTACTTTATATTGCATTTCACTAGTAGTGATTTAGAGCCTATTCACATATTGATATACACATATTGATAGCTTGGATTTCATCCTTTCAAAACTTCCCATTTGTATCCTTTAACAATTTATCAGTTGTGCCTTGGTTCTTATTCTTACAAATTTGAATCAGCTGGAAATGAGATTTTTTCATAAAAACTTATGGGAAAAAATGGTTTTCTCAATTAAGTCACGTCAAGTTTTTATTAAGCACACACTATGTGCTAGGCAGGGTGCTTTGCTGAGGATACAAAGAAAGCAAAAAATAACCCTTCGCTTAAGTAATTCACAATTAAAAAGGGGAGGCAACATAAAAACTATATGCAAACAAGCCATATAGCCACAAAAAGGAGGAGAGATACAGGATGACAGGTGTTTCCCTTCTACTCTCAGCAGCATTTGTTTTGTTTGTGCAAAGACTTTTAAATTTTATATTATACATATATATATATATATTTATATGTATTTATATATATATAAAACTGCTGTCTGAGTTTTCCCAACAATTATTGGGGTCATTTTCTTGATTACTGCTTTGAGGTCCCCTTAACTGCCCCTTGTATTAATTATTTCCTTTGAGCTTCTTGATCATTTTTTGTTCCTCTCCAAATGAATTTTTTCTAGCTTTATAAAATAATCCTTCGGTAGTTTGGTATGGCATTGAATTAATTTAGGTAATATTTTCATTTTTATCACATTAGCTTAGTCTACCAATAAGCAATTAATGTTTCTCCAATTATTTAGTTCTGTTTTTATTTCTATAGGAATGTTTTGTAGTTATATGATTTCTGCATGAGTCCTAGTAGGCAGATGCCTGAATATTTTATATATTCTGTAGTTATTCAGAATGGAATTTCTCTTTATATTTCTTCTTACTGTGTTTTCTTGGGCTATCAAATATTACAATTCTCCTAACAATGATCTACCCTTTTTCCACGCCAGTACTCTTCCTAAATGTGCTCTTTTTCCTCATTGTCATCTCTACACCAGAGGTGGCAAAGCATGCAGCAAGTAGGTCACATGTGGTCCATGACACTCCTGAGTGAGGTCCAAACTAGATTAAAATCTTACAGAAAAGTTAACAATATAAATAAAAATACAATAAAACATACTGTTAATATATAGTTTTCTAAGTCAATCTGCACGCACACAGGTCCTTATGTACAGTTTAGTGGCCCTGGTCTGTATTTGGGTTTAACACCACTGTTGTATACCCCTCCCTTATTCTTGCAGTCCATTAAACCGTGTACTAACTTTACTTTCCTCTCTATTTATCCTGAACCCTATGGTCAGTTATTTCAGTGGTGTGCTTGCTACTTGCATATAATCTCTTGTCTCTTTCCCCGTGGTCTAGTTTGCTAATCTCTAACTCTGAAAAATCTACATTACATCTTTCTCCCAAACAAGAATAAAAAGGGGCGAGTAATCCAAAGAGATCTCACTGTGAACCTTCCAATAAACTAATTTTCAAAAGGTACATATATAAAAGATCTAACCAAGGTCACACAGACAAGGCAGGATAATAATATAGCAAGAATCCAAGTGAACTAGGCTCTAGAAAAAATGCTAAGGATGATTTTTTAAAAAGTACCAAGAACAGGGATGTCTACCACAGGGATGAATGACAGAATATTGATTATAACAACTCTTATTTATAGAGAGCTTTAATGTTTAAAAAAAGCAAATATACTGCTATTATCCTTTCATCTATTTTGTTGCAAAGGAAGGCTAGAACAAATACAGATATTGAGGCCAAATACAGGTAAGCAAGAAATAAAAGAGGACCTATCAATTCTAAATGGGTTCCAGGTTCCTGGCCCAAACAGATCCAGGAAGAAGTTTGACTGAAAAAAGATCTGAAGGTTTTAATAAATCAAAAGTTCAATGAGTTAATAACATGATACTTCTGTGTAACATAGTATCACAGGACCGCAAAGTGATAGTAATCTGCTATCAAAGCTAGTTGCACTATATATGAACTATCCTGTGTCCCACTCTGGGAACTATATTTTATTAAGGATACTGCTATACAAATTCCTCAGTCTTGCATTTAAAACCTTCCATGACCTGGTTTCAATCTACCTGCTGAAGTTTATCAGTGGGTTTTTTTTTTGTTTCTTTGTTTTGAGAAAGACGAGTGTTAATGCTTGCCACTGGGCAGTTTTCTCTCCTGAAACAATGAACTACTCTTCTTCACTACAAGTATATGTTTGGGATAGAGACCCAAATAGCTGACTTAAGTGGTGCAAAGGATAAAACGTTAGATTTGGATCAGGAAGACCTAAGTTCATATTCTGTTTCTAACATTTGTTTTAAAAATGACCCTGGAAAACTATTTAACTTCTCTAAGCCTTTATTTCTACATCTGTAAAAGAGAGATAGTAACAGCACCTATCTCACAGGAAGGTTGTGAGGATTATATGAGGTAATAAATGCTAGCTATTAGATAATGATGATGATGATGACAATCTACAGCTACTAAATGTAAGCCAGACTATGACTTACATCACTAACCACTGACAGGTGAGACTGAAGTGAAGTCAGAACAAAAGTCATGAAAAAATAGACACATTGTAAAAGAGAGATAAAACTCAAGGGGAGAAGAAAACCAGATACAAGGAGAAATATTTTTCCTCCTCTTCTCAAATCTCCCAACAACATATTTTCACTCAAATATTCACAGGATTACAAATAGTGTGTGTGTGTGTGTGTGTATCACACACACACACACATACACAAAATTAATCAACTCCAAAAGACATCACAACTAGATGATACCCTCCAAAGATAAAGCAAATAGATGCAATGGTTCAACACAAACTCAGATTTAACAGTCAGAAGTTATTAAACTGCTAAAGTGAAAATAGTATGATGGAAGTATATTCAGTGAAAATATAAATCATAAATTCACTGTATCTGTTAAATCCTTCTACCTGACATAATGGTTTTATGGCAGATGAATTACCTGACAGGATTACTGGTTAAAGACACCCGAAGGGACTCTAAGCATGTAACAAGTCTTTCGTCCGCAGCTCCCATTTTCAGTTCATGGATGAATTCCTGTGGTGATATTTGCCGGCTACTCTTCAGACATCCCTTTAAAATAACATTTTTAAAAGTTATGCTGAGTGATGGCTTCTTGATAGTACAAAAATAACAAAAGTAATAAATCTTTTTTTAAACATATGTAATCCACAAATAGATTGCAACCATTTCATTCCTAAATATATAAACTCATAGGCCATAATGTCCAAAAATTATAGCTCCATGAAAAATATTTTTGCTCATTAAAATAGCTGATTTTTTAAATCTGATATAAATGTTATAATAAATATTGATTGGTTTTACTTAACTTTTCCCCCCTTTTTGCCAGATGAGACTTACAAGGTATATGTGCAGAGTAGAGGTTGAAAAGGGCACTATATCCAGAAATCGTTTATATTAAAACAAAAGACACAAATAAAACTCAAAAATAAATATCATAATAACCAACCCAAAATATAATAGGAAAACATAAAAGATGGAAAGCACCCATAAAGTCTTAAATCTCTGCATGTTAGCAAATTTATTCCTGGAAATCATGAAAAGTGAGAAATGGAAAAAAAAAAAAGAAAGAAAGAAAAAACTCTACAGTATTAAAATATATTCAAGGGAAAGTAGCCAAATCTAGTACCACTAATAGTAAAATGTTAGTTCAATACAGAAAATATAAGTGGTCTAGGGAAAGAGAAAAAGGAAAGGAACGAGCATTTATTAAGTAACTACTATGTGCCAGGCACTGTGCTAAGTACTTTACAAATATTATCTCATTTAATCTTCACAACAACCCTATGAGATAGATACTATTATTATGCCCATTTTACAATTGAGGAAATTGAGGCAGACAGAGTTTAAGTGACTCATCAGGTATCACAAAACCAGTAAGGGTTTGAGGACATCCAGTCTCAGTACTCTACCCAATATATTACTAAGCAATTTTTTTTAATGTGTTAGGTGGTGAAAGTATAAGTATTAATAGACTAAAGAAAGTAATTCATAAGGATCAATGAAATGGTTAAAGTAAAGAAAAATAAAAATTCAATTTTGGCATGAAAGGTAACCAATAAAGCATATCACTTAAATAAAATTAGTATCAAAATCATATTTATGTGGTCATATTAAAGCAAATCTTACACCAAAACAGGGTAACAGGCTGAAAATTACTTTAGTCATATGAACATTTAATTCCTTCACAGGCACACAACTGTATATAAAAATAGCAATTATTATTGTCAAGTGAATCAGAAAACATTTCTTAACGGCACCTAATATGTAGGACCTACTGTACTGTAAAAAAACAATTTAATTATTACAGTTCAAAAAATAACAGAAGATATTGTCAATATGGTTAATTAACTCGGGTACACACTACACTAAATATAACTCAAAAAGAGAATATATCTAAAATGTCAGTCATATATTTTGAAAGAAAAACACACTTGTTAAGTAAGCAAATTAAAAAAGTAGGGTTTTATGTGCCTTTATAGGGCATTTAAGGAGCCACTGGTGTTTATTAAATATGAGGGTGAGAGTGTTAGCCCTGGCTTTAGGAAGATCACTGTGACAGCTAAGTAGAGGAAGAAATGGAGTAGTTACAGTTATAGCCCAAGTGTGATTTGATGAGGGCCTGCTCCAAAGCGGTGGGCAGTGTTGGAAGAGCAGAGTATGTGAGAGATGTTACACAGGTAAAATCAACAAGTCTCAGCTATGGAATGAGAGAGAGAGAGAAGCTGAGAATAACACCTAGATTGCAAACTGTGCCATTGGATTGCATAGAATGCAGCATAGTGAAAATATAAGAAAATTTCACAGGCAGGAAGGATCCCATTGTGAAAGGCTTTAAATACCAAATAGAGGGCTCTATATTAGATCTTTTAGGTAAGAGGAGCCATGGGAGTTTATTAATCAGAGAGGGTGCATGGTTAGACATGAGCTTTAGGAAAATTCTTTTGGCAGTTTATGGAGCATGGATTGTAGTGGGGAGAGATTTGTCTGTGGTAATTTTGACAGTAATATAGAAGTTAGGAAGAGAGAAGGGTTTGGGGGAAAAGATATCAAATTCAGTTTTGAATACGTCAAGAATTCAGGGCAGGATAAGTAGATCTGAGAATCATCAGCACAGAGACATAACTGAATGCATCTGAGCTGATGAGATCAAGCCAGTGAAATCGTATAGAGGGAGAAAAGAAGAGGGCCTACAACAGAGCTCTTCAGGAAACCCATAAAGAGAAAAAAGAGACTAAGAGGCAGTTAAATATATAAGAGGAAAACTAGAAGGGAATAATGCCCCAAAAACCTAGAGAAGAGTGTATCAAGGAAAAGAGGATCACTGAAAGCATCACAGGTTACATAAAAGTTAAGAAGGTTGAGGGTTGAGAAAAGACCCACACCCAGTCTTAGTTTCTCTCCTGAGGTCTTCATGCATTATCAATTACCTTTGATACATCTGACCTGGGCATTTTAAGTTCAACATGTTCCACAATAACATATTGTTTACCTCAAAATCCACTCCCTCTCTTCAATCCCTATTACTATCAGAGACATCACCATCCTCCCAATTACCCAAGCTTGCCACCTCAATGTCATCCTGGACACTGAACATCCGTCTCACTCATCCCAGATATCCAATCCATTATCAAACCTTTTGTTTCTCCTTTCACAACAGCTCTCATCTATGTTCTCTTCTTTACATTCACACAGCTACCACCTTACCTAGAAGCACTTACTACCTCTCTCCCAGAGAACTGTAATAGCCTTCTAACTGGCCTCCAAACCTTAAATCTCTCCCCACTACAATCCATGCTCCATAAACTGCCAAAAGAATTTTCCTAAAGCTCATGTCTAACCATGCACCCTCTCTGATTAATAAACTCCCATGGCTCCTCTTATCTAAAAGATCTAATATAGAGCCCTCTATTTGGTATTTAAAGCCTTTCACAATGGGATCCTTCCTGCCTGTGAAATTTTCTTATATTTTCACTATGCTGCATTCTGTGCAATCCAATGGCACTGGTCTCTTTAAGGTTCCTCACACAAGACACTCTTAACTCCCTACTTTACAATGGCTATCTCCTATGCCCGGATTGTTTTTTTTATTCCCAATCTATTTCTTAGCTTCACTGGCTTCCTTCATGACTCAGCTCAAATCCCACTATCTGCAGGAGTTCCTTCCTCCTATCCTTGTTCCTCCCCTCTGAAATTGCATTCCATTTATATTAACTTGATTGTGTATGCTCAGTTATTGATATGTTGTTTCCCCATTAGAATGTGAGCTCCTTCAGATAGGAACAATGTTGTGTGTATGTGGTTGGTTTTTTTTTATTCTTTGTTTTCTCAGCACTTTGCACGGTACATAGTAAGCACTTTAAACATATCTGTTGACTGAGTGACTGGTTGAAAAATGATACGTAATAGGTTTTGGCCTGATAATCAAAATCCCAGGAAATTATAGAGAAGTCAGGATATTTCAAATAAGAGGGAATAAACAGTAAGAATTTTTAATTCTTTTGTTCTACCTGGAATGCCAAGGAATCAGCCTAGGTAACAGATCTTACTACAGCTAAAGAAGAGCAATAGGTTCAAATGCATGCATGATTTCCAGAGGTTAAAGGACAAAAGGCTAAGTTAAATTTCAGCAGTTTTTATATCTGTTAAGATTTTGATTTAGAGAAAAAGTTTCAAGGCAACATTTATAGTTAATTCTCATACTTCTATTCAATTGAGAAGTTTCAAAATACATATAACTTATAATACAGTATTTTGAATATTGCACACAGGGTAAGGAAGTGATTCTCATTAATAGTTTTTTTTAACTTGTGTAAAAATGCATATATATTTCCCTAAAGGATTCCACTATTTATAGCATATCATTTGCTTGATAAGGACATGTGGACACAATCAGTCATTAAAAAACATAAGTTTTTACAGGACCTATGACAGATGCTAAGAAAAGCCAGGGTAGCTTTCTATCATTTAGGAAGAAGGAAAAAGTAAAACACAACTGGAGAAAGCTAACGACTTTCCCAGAATTTCAGGTAAAATAAGGAAGGGAATAAGAAAAATCATTTGTGGGGAGACAGAGAAAGGAGATGAAACCAAACTTGAATTATTCTAAGAGACCAAAATCTTACGTGAGAAAAAACTTGAGTTAAAACTCTCTCTCTCTCTCTCTCTCTCTCTCTCTCTCTCTCTCTCTCTCTCTCTCTCTCTCTCTCAGGCTGCTCATCTGCAAAATTTCTCCTCTAATCCATGTCCTACCATCATACAGGTATGGATGAGAGAAAATGATAGCAAGAAAACATTGTGTCAATTGGGTAATCAGGAATCCCAAAGATAGCTTCTCTTATGTTTCTTTTATTTCACATAATAGCTTTAAAGAGGAAAAAAGTGTACTCAGCATTATATAACTTCAGGTCCATTAGCTATGCAGACGAAAATACTTAGAGAGCTTTACTCTTAATATCAAAATATATTTGCAACATGAGGCTGCTTGGTATCACCACAAAAATGGGAAAGTTTATCCAACATTTATTTTAAAGTTTTTTATTCTTCAATATATTTTATTTTGAAATACCAAAGGTAGCACATTAAGAAAAGCTCTTGCTGTACTCTTGACATCTTTCATTTTGTTTATAGATTGCAAGGCATGAGAAGCAATACTTTGCTCCACATTCTTGTTTCCATCACTACATCTGTTTACCTACTCTCAACTATCTTTTTCTCTGCTATCTTACCTGTAGCAGCACAGTAATCATTTCTGTACTACCAGTTTTGAACAGATTCTTTGTCTCTCCCTCACTGATTGCATTTCATCTGAAAATTTAGTTGATTCTCTTTTCCAGTGTTTATTTCTTTGGTCCATTTTCTTGTTTTCATGATCATAAAGTCATTTTGGATATCATTTACATGGCAAAATAAAGCTATATTGTAGTTCCCATTACCAACAAAATGAAGCATAATTATATGGTAAACATTTTCCACAGTCAAGTGGATGGTTTTAAATAGCTATGAACAATTCAATGAAGAGGTCAGTCCACTATCCCATGTTGACTTGTATG